GCCGTAAATTCATCGATCCCATAAACAAAATTCTGTCTGTGAAGAGCAAGGGAAAATCAGAGCAGACGCACTTATGTACAAACGAAATGGTCTGGAGCAGAATGACTAAGTGTCAGGACTTCTTTGAGTAAAAGATTGGCCTGGCTTCCCATTTATCAAGTCTATCAACCCCATTTGGCTTTTATTGACTGAACTTTTAGTTCCCCAGCAGGGAGCACCAGGCACCCTCAGGACTGAGGTGGTATGTGCCCTCTCCCAACTTGGGTTGGCTGCAAGATGGGAATACATTGAAAGGTTTTATTGTGTTTTTAATTCCACTGGATTTTCTCACTGGAACTGTGTTTTTCTCTTTTCTGGTCTTATATGTTAGATTCTTGGAGGGATAACCTCTCTCAGGAATGGTGCAGGCTTGCAGCTTCCATCTCAGTATCTGGGCAAGAACCCCAGGGCTGTGAAAACAGGGAAATTCACTCAGCCTGGGGCAGCCAGTCATCCTGATGTGAGGGAATAATAATCTTTCCTGCCCAGCATGGAGGATCCTGAATCCAGGAACATGGTTGTACTTTGATGTGTTTGAAAGGCAGAATTTGAGTTTCACTTTGAAGTATTCCTCTTTCTTTGTCAGAGCACAGGGTGCCTAGAGGGCAGGGAGAGAGAAGTTCTTCTTAAAAGAAAGGAAAACAAAAACTTTAAGTCTCAAGCACTTTCAGACCAAACGATAAGGATGATAAAACCAGATTAAGATATTTTTTTCCCTTTTATGAAGTTCTACTTTGACTGAGGTGGTCATCTTGCATTAGGGGTGTTTATGTAATATTATGTAAAATGTTTTGGTCCCATGCCTTTTCCTTAATAGAGAAATATGCTTGAGCCAGGGATCTGGACCTCAGCTCTGGCTGTTTCTCTATCCTCCTACTCCACAGGAGCCCAACAGCAGCTTGGCAAGGTCTTATCATGTGAGACAGTGGTCACACTAGCTAGATGCCTCTTCTCGGAGGTGAGGCACACTTACCTGCAGCTCTGGAGCAAGAGCACAGATTTATTCTGTTCTGACTCTCAGATGGGCCTTGACTTACTGACAGATAATTCAACTCTAATTGTTCCTTTGACATTCAATCCTCTGTCATAAAAGAACATGTGATAGGATTTTGCTTAATCACCTATGGTAGTTATTTTTATCAAAAGCTCATTTTCTTTCCTGTTAATCTGGTGAAAAAAAACCTATTGAAAGCCAAAAAAGCTTAAAGAAAGTGAAAATAATTCTTTATAATTCCTCTACCTATGTATATCTCCTTTGAATGTATCTCCTCCCATTTTTACCAATTCTTTGTTTAAACACAATTAATGTCATGTTGTACATACATGCATATAAACATACACATACATATAAACTGATTCTTTACTTTGTGATTCTTAAGCTACTTTATAATAAATGATTTTTCAAAATTATTTTCTCCTTTGAACAGCCCCTCAACATGATAAGCAAGGAACATATTTGTACTTCGTTTTATGGATAAGGAAATGGAATCTCAGTGAAGTTTGATGTATTGAACAAGTATTTGTTAACTGTGTCTATATTTCAAGCACAGTGCTGTGAAGCAGGCTGGCTGAGGTCATTTCAGTAAATGCTGAGAACCACTTGAACATAGGTCTACTATCTCTTTGATACACCAATTCCACCCTTTGACATTCCTATATTTGTCCCCAAATCTAGACCAATTATTGAAGTTGATCTTGGAGAGGAGACAGTGGTGTCTGAGGCAGGATTAGAACCCAGATATGGGAATGAGCAGAGTAATGTGCAGCCGTTGAGCCTGAGACAGTGGCCTACTTATCATCCCTGAGGACAGGCCAAGAAAATAGGTTCCATAGCTGGCTCTGAGACTTGAGCCTACAAGAGAAGGGTCTGGAGGTCATTTCTATTACAGCTTTGCATAAATCATGGGAACCAAGCTTAACATTTTATTAGTTGTGGGGAATGTGTCACAATAATAATATATGATGCATTAGTATCAGCAATATGGGAAATCAGGTCCATAGCATCTGCATGTAAGGTACAATCGTGTCTTAACAACAAGGGAAACTGGGTCTGTGTTATAGGTATATTTTCCATAAAACCGCTGCAACCTTTGTATAAATCTAAATCTATTCTAAAGTGAATCCTTATTATCAATTTTTAATGGATAAGAGTTTTTCAGACCCAGAAAAAGAGAACTAGCATCCTAGGGGAAGGCACTCGATGCAAAGACCAGGAGGGAACACAGCGTGCATGGGAAAGGGTGAGGGATTGTGGGGTTGGCATGTGCTGTGGCTGTCTAAACTTATGTGAGGCTGAGTCAGGGCGGGTGGCATCAGGAAGGCTTTTCTTTCAGGTCAGGCTCAAAATGTTAGGACTTATCCTGCAGGAAATGAGACCCTACTAGGACACTGTAATGAACATACCTCACATTTGAGTTTATTAATTATAAAGATACCAGCAATTGGAGGATGTGCCATAAAAAATAGAGGCTGGGGATAATGAGCAGATGAGGAAACTGTTACAATGGCCTGGGCAGAGTTGGTGCTACCTGGAGTTAGGCAGTGACTAGAAGCAGAGGGTGCTGTTGGAGAGGAGTTGAGAGGCTCAGAGCTGAGCTCAAACTCTAGCAGCACAGGTCTTCATCCAAACTGCTTCTTCCTGCCTCTGTTTCGATTTTCCTGCCTGATTACAATCCCAGGAGAAACGAGGTAAAGCCTGATTGATGGAGACCAAGCAGAGCTCACATCCAGGTGCTCACCCAAGCTAGGTAGCAGAGAATCAAGATGCCCTTCTCCATGGCAGGCTGGTTTGGCATCATGTCGAGGAACCCAAGTCCCAATTGAGGGTCAGAGCTCTAATGACTAGGACTGACACGTCATCATTAGGACCAGATTGCCTCCATCATAACTCTATGAGTCATCGAGCTGGTCAAAGGGAACCAGTATAACTCCACCCACCACCAGGAGGAATACTGACCATACCTGAGAGTTAAGCACTTCCAGGGCATGGGCTAAGCAGTTACGGGGATGCAGATGCAGACAGCGCAAGTGCACACCCATTCTTGCCCCCTTTGTCTACACAGGGGCATCCAAAGGACGCAGGAAATCAAACCCTTGACCCTGTTCACTGAGTTTGTCCTGTCCCTTTTGACCAGCATTTTAATCCAGCTGCAGCAATCCACTCTGAGTTCTAGTGCTATTTATTGAACCCCAGTGGAGAAATAGCCATAATATTTCTTTCTCACTGTCCCAGTTTCCAGAGTGTGGTACCATTAATATCTTTGATGCCTTTGATTAGAATTCTGGGTAGATCTTAACTTGTGCTTCACTGCAATGCCCACCACATCCATTAGCATTGGTTGTGGGGCTCTTCAGAGTATGCAGTCATGCTGATATTTTTCATCACTACCAAGCATCTTATTATTTAGGATGGAGTTGATCTGAGTGGGTATCATGTCCAAAGTAGCAACAGAGATTTCAGGTTTCTTTTCACCTGTAGAACTCCTTATCTCATTCTGATGGACTTGTTTTAGGCCTTAGAACAATAGCATGTCCCCGGTGGAATGGTCTGTTGGATGGAATGGTGGCCTCTTACAGCTCAGTGTGCAGACCCTACCACAGGTGTCCATCTATGGGGAATGTTGGGAGAGGAGATGCATCCTTAATTGGGGCTGCTGGTGGCTTCCCAGAGCACCCAGTGGCACATCACCAAAATGGGTGCATCTTCCACGCAAGTTAACCAGGGTCCCTGTGGGTCTTCTATAATGAAAAGTAGGTGCTTCTGAGGGCGATCTGACCGTCGCTTGCTGCACAGATGCTGGTCTGTGGATCATCGACAGCCACAGAAGCAGCTTCACCTGGGAGCTTGTTAGACAGGAATAATCTCAGGTTGCAGAATCAGAATGTATGCAAATCCCTAGGTGATTTGTGTGCATATCACAGTTGGAGGATTACTGCTTTAATCTACAGCAGTGGCTCACAATCCTGGCTGTGTGTTAGAATCACCTGGAACTAAAATATCCACATCTAGCCCACTGTGGACCAATTAAACTGAAATCTCTAGAGATGGAGCCCTGCTTTCAGTGTGTCTGAAAAGCCCCTTAAGAGATCGTAACATGCAGCCATGCTAGAAGCCCAGGGACCTGAGGGGACATATGACGATCTCCCTGGAAGCATTAATGCTCCCCAGGCCTGGCCCTGAGGTTCTGATTTAGCTGGCTTGAGATGGGCTAGTGTCTGTACTTTCTGCATCTCCCCAATTAATAATTGGAAATCATTGGCCAGGGAAAGGTTTAATCATTGTCCAGGTCCTGTGAGAACACAGGGAGGGGAAACAGTTCCAAGAACACCTGTCTCTTCTGTAGTTTCTGAGCCAGGAGAGATCTTCTTGGGGTGCCAGTGAGAGATGCATCACCCTATTGGGCATGGCCTGTGCTCTCAGGAGGATATGGTAGATGTGGAGCACATTTATTCTGCTGCCAGCTTCTACCTGCATATTTGAAAAGATACAGTGTTCGCACTATGGTGAAAACAGGCAGAGCACTCTTGGCTCTGCTTGCGTTACTCCCGAGCCTCCTCTTACTTGTATTGGTGGCAACAGCTGAAGGTAAGGTCCAGATGGCTTAGGAAAGTCAGAGGAATAATGAAAGAAGAGGAGACTTTGTGGGAGACACAGGGACACAGCCTCTGTGGGTGGACAGAATAAACTTGGATGTAAACTTTTACTCAAGAGATGAGTTCTAACTTATTAGCTTCATTTTAGAGATGTACAGAGTCCTAGAGATTGGAGTGAGCTGATGGGGGCGGGGAGTGGAACTTTCTGTGTTTCACCTCTGTTCTCCTGTGGTTCAGAGGTGGCTCCAGGACTCTAGGAATTCTACAGGGTTGCTGTCCACCCATCTGCCTGGTGCAGATCCTGGTTGGGGAGGAATTCCTGAGGGGTGCCCAGTTCCATCCCTGATGCTCCCTTTCTCCCTTCACAGCTGGCGACGTGGGACTCGGAGAAGGGTCTGAATGGCAGCTTGCAGGAGAGGCCCATGGGCAGCCGCCTCCAAGGACTGACTCTCAAAGTGGTGACTGTCTTGGTAGGATCATGGGGAACACTTGGGGAGCTAGGCTGCCCACACTTTTGAATCAGAGGTTCTGTTTAATGTGGGGTGTGGGGAGGAGGGATCTTGGGCCATGGTTCGAGCTTTCCCAAGACCTTTCTTGGAAACCACTGTGAATGAGGAAGAGGAGAGTAAGGTTGGAGATCTCTCCTGGGGCTGCTGAGCCTCTCCTGGATGGTCCCTGAGATGTGGGAGAAAGACCAGTCCTGCAGATCTGCTGTTGGGCGCCAAGGACCCTTGCTGCTCTACTGGCCCTCAGATGTGAACTGCACCTTGCCCTATTGCTGCTCCTTGGGGGAGCTGTACTGGTAGCTGGGATCCCCAGAAGGGTGCCAGGAAGAGCTATTCTTCTTCCATTCTTCTTCACCTGGACACATTGATGGGGCACGCCATGCAGAGTTTGCAGTGAAGACAGTTTGTTACAATTTTTCTGCATAGTTATCCTGGAAACATAAACGTTTACACTGGTGAGAGACCTAGGAAGCATCTTTCTTTTAACTCATTTTTTTTTCACCTCTTTAGAAGAACTGCAGGGATATTTTAGATTTTCTCCTTTTTGGCTGGGTCAGACATGGTCCAAATGCTATCCTCGTCCCAGCAGGCACAGAAACCTTTGGCAGCAGCTCTCTGCTTTCCCTGTTTGCACCCCATGAATAAGCCTGGTATCATTTTTCCAACAAAACTACCTTAATGAGGTAATCCTCTGTGGCTGTTTGCCAGAACCCCTTCTCATGCACTTCTACATGAGGAAACTGGTGGGGATGCAGAGATGTTTTCCAGATGGTCACCTGCCCAACATGACACGCACTAACTGTTTGGGCATAAACGCAGAACAGCTTTGGACTTGGGGTCTGAGGGCTTAATCCTCTCTCATCCTTTGACTTATGGTCGACCTTGCCAAATAATCAGTATCCATTTTCTAGTACAACCCGATAGATATGATGCTGTCTTTTCTCGATCTAATAACACAGAGTTTTTTTGTCATAAACTATCCAGCGTGAGAAATGTCCCATGTCTTATATGTAGTCACATAGATTTATGGCATTTCCTAAGGACAGAATCCTGGTCCATAATGAAGGAATGAAAACATACCACGTCATTCTGAGCAGTAGGGACTGAGAAGAGTGTGGGATGAAATACATAGGACAGTTCAATCTACATTGCTCTACACTGGCCTGAGGATGGAATGAAGTCTCATAGAGTAGCTCAACAGTCCATAAACTGCTTTTAGAAAAGGCAGAGGAGTTTAGCTCTGAGGCTAAATTGAGGGCTGGGAATGTAGCTCAGTAATACAGCAAGTGACCCTGGCAAGCACAAGGTCCTGAGTTTGATTCCCATTACCAAAAAAAAAAAACCAAAAAAAACCCCCCAAAACCCCCAAAACCCCAAAAAACAACAAAAAAAAACCCCAACAAAACAAAAAACCAGATAGAAATTGGGTGAATACTGAATTCTACTATTATTACTAGTGGTAGAGCCTGAAGCCAGGGTTAAGCACTGCCTCTGAGCGACACCCCCAGCCCCAATACCAGCTTTCTATAGTTATGGCTCATCAGATTGGTCTCTCCAACAGTGCCCTGGAAGTACATATTAGTGGACCTTTTATTTAACTGAAGAACATTCATTCTCTTGTCCCCAGGAAGAGCCTTTTGTGATGGTGGCTGAGAACATCCTTGGGCAGCCCAAGCGCTACAAAGGGTTCTCCATAGATGTCCTGGATGCATTGGCCAAGGCTCTGGGCTTCAAATATGAGATTTACCAGGCCCCCGATGGCAGGTACGGGCACCAGCTCCATAACACCTCCTGGAACGGGATGATCGGGGAGCTCATCAGCAAGGTAGGTTCCCCAGAACAGGCCAGTGGGGAGGGGTACCTACTTGGCTGCTAGGGGAATGCCTAAAATGGATCTGTTGAGCAGCTGGACCCTTGGGGCCAGACTAACAGACCACAGCTGCCTCTTTCCTACCCTGCAGCCTTCTCTTTCCTCCCGTCTCTCTCCTTGCTATATCCATTCTGTCTCTTAATCTTATCCCCCTCCTTCGCTTTCATTCTTTTGGAGCCTATCCACTGTAATGCAGCCTGACCTACATGCTGCCTTCCAGAAACACACCCACCCCATGCACAGAAAGAAGAGCCTAGGTCCCCCTGGAGCCTAGGTCTCCCAGGTCTCCTGGTTCTTGGAGCACTTATTTTCATATTCCCCAGACTTTCCAAGTGTGATATGTACACTCATGTGTGTAAGTGTGTGCATGGATGAGTGTCTGCATTGCCTACATTGCTATCTGTATGTGGCCTTCTCTAGATTTTCATTCCCATTTCAAATCATCCCTCATGCTCTTTCCTGTAAGATCTGCCTTTGCAGAAACTCGTGGCAGGGAGCCAAGTCACCACATTCCCATTTTGCCCCTATTGTCTCTGGCCTCTGGGGCATTCCACATGATCATTTACCATGGCACTGGGTAGACTCTAGCCCTCTGTCTCCAGTGCTTCTGCAGCCACTGCCACCTGAACAATTTCTGGCATTGCTGCAAGCAACCTGATTCTTACAACTGTCACCCCCTTGCTTCCTGGGAACTTTGCTGCCATGGTCCAAGGCCCTCTCCCCTGTATCCTGTTAACATTGCTCAGGCTACCGTTCTGCCCTGTCTATACCAGGACAACTTGTCCTTCGTTTTTGGTGCTTTATTCCAGAAACACAGTATCTCTGCTTTCTCAACCTATAAAGGCAGATGCAAAGTCTATAATCCCGCCAGTTTTTCTTAATCTTTTTTCAAAACAACTCTATTGTGATAGAATTTAGATACAATAAAATTTACCCATTTTAGATGTACAATTCAATGATGTTTAACATATCTATTGAGTTGTGCAGTAGCCACATAATCTTATTTAGAGCACTTCCATTACTGCATTGCAAGCTCTCATACACCCCTCCCGGCCCTCAGCAACCCTTAATCTGCTGGCTATCTCTGTAAAGTTGTATTTGTGAACATTTTACACAAGCAAAGACATATTATGCACAGTCTTTTGTTTCTGGCTCTTTCACTTAGCATAAGCTTTTCAGATGCAACTTTCCCTGATGTTTCTGTACTCTTCTGATGCCTAAGCCTTTCCTCCTTTGGTGCTGCCCATGGTTGACCCCACAGATCCCACCCCTGCCCTTTATCTTTTGTGATTTCCTGTCTTCTTGATTTCTTTTTGCACCCAACCCCTGAATCAATTCTATTATTTACCCTCTTGACTCAGGACATCCAGGTTTCTGCATCCAGTTAGAGAAAAATTTTGCAAATCTGTCTAGGTTAATGCATTGGTATGTGGGGCCACCAGCCTCTACTGGGTTTCAGTACAGTGCAGGTCCCTTAACTTGTCCCTGCTCAAGTCCCTTGACTACACCCCACAGAGAAAGTTTCAAAAGTTTACCTTTCACACCAGCTATCTGATAATCTTCTATCTTTCTCAGTTAAAAAAATATTTACTTCAATATTAGGGAAAGAACTTGAGACTTTTGGGCAGGAAATTCTACTTCAAAGACACATGTGTGGGCACCTGAGCCCCGTCAGGGGTCTGCCTTTCGCCCATCACAGACCACCCCTCCCCTGTGCTGAGTTGGTTTCCTGTGCCTTGTCTCAACCTTGCTTCCTAAATTACCTTCCCTCCATCCTACGTTACCGACTTACCTTCCTCCACTAATTCTCTTTCTCGGTCTTTAAATATGGTCTAAATTCTCCTGACCCTAAAAGAGATCCCTGGGTTGTGGGTGTCTCGGAGAAGAGGCTAAGATTGAATAGGCTCTGACACCTCCAGTCACCTCTTCTCTAGGCTGCTATTGGATTTCTGTGCAGAACCTCAGTGAATCTGCTCCTCTAGCCCTCACATTAAATCTTATAAAAATCATCCATGTATATTTCCCCCATTTGGAACCTGTAGGTTAGACCAGCGGTTATCATAGGTCATTCTTAGATATATCTGGTTCTGCTGATGTCTCTGATCTGGAGACCCAAGAGCCCAGGTCAGAATAATGGCAGTGCCTTCCCATGCTCTCGCCATCAGTGGGGGACTTCAGGCTGTTTTCTCCTGCCATTCATACCTCTAGGCACAGGACTTGTCACCTCCACTAAGCTGAATTAGACTGAGCTTCATCCTCAATCTAATTCCATCTTAATGCAGACTTTGTCTGTTTTTAAAATGAAATCTGCTTTGGCATGCAAAAGCCCTGGAAGGTAATTTTTAGGTCACAGTATGACATGTCCAGAGGGAAACTTCCTATGATGACTTTACTGTAAGAAAAGTCAGCTCATGCATCTGCAGGTTTGGATGACGGGTGGTGGAAGATAGCAGTAAGTAGGTGACCCCTCCATGCTTGGAGGAGTTTACTCTCTGGCACAGAGTCTGCATATAGAACAATCAGGGACTGATATGTTAATGAGATCCAGCAGAGGTGCACAACTCACTCTACAACTTGTGAAGTATTTGAGAGAGGAGGGAGATCAGTGTGGGATAATGGAGTTTGGAAAGGCTTGGTGGGGACAGGGAGTCTGATCACAGCCTTGTTATATGGGGAGGATTCAGATCAGCATAGGAGATAGAAGGTCTTCGTGGTGGGAGGTACAGTATAAAAGGAAACACGGATCAGAGAAAGGAGATCAAGTTTGCTAGGGAAGCAGTAAGAAAGTGAAGATAAACTGCAGCTCAGAAAAACAAAGGTGTTTTCTTGGACTCCTCTCCAGACATTTCTAGGCCTTTGTAGGTTTGGGAGACACGATTGCAGGGTGAAGGAGGTAATGGACACGGCGGTAGTGTTGCTTACTTGCGAACGGAGCTACGAGGGGCGGGGGGCGATGGCAGATCTGAGCTGGGACTACCCTGCGCAGTGCTCTCTGATGAGCTGCTTTGCCTTTCAGAGGGCAGACGTGGCCATCTCGGCCATTACCATCACCCCTGAGCGGGAGAGCGTTGTGGACTTCAGCAAGCGCTACATGGACTATTCGGTGGGGATTCTAATGAAAAAGCCCGAGGAGAAAATCAGCATCTTCTCTCTTTTTGCTCCGTTTGACTTTGCGGTGTGGGCCTGCATTGCGGCTGCCATCCCCGTGGTGGGTGTGCTGATATTCGTGTTGAACCGGATACAGGCTATGAAGGCTCAGAGCGCCACCCAGCCTCGACCCTCTGCATCTGCCACGCTGCACAGCGCCATCTGGATTGTCTATGGAGCTTTCGTCCAACAAGGTACCTTCTGGTTTCCCTGGAAGAATTTATTCAGTTTGAAGTTTTCAGATGCGTCTCACCAAAGTCATTTTCGATGCAATTTTATTTTGTCTCTAGGACAGTGCTAATATTATGATGCACCCAATTTCTCTAAGTAGTACCAGAAATTCAGTGAAACGACAACAAGGAACTCAATGTGAAATCCTGATTCTCCACTTTAAATAAAATTAACTTTGGAGTTATGTTAGCACTTTTCTCCCCTCCCACATTAGATGATTGATATGCATGTGAGGTTGTCAAGTTTAAGATTGCTTAAACCTGGAGGCTTACTGGGGGAAAAAAATCACATTTGTGTTGCAATCACCTAACCAGCACTCCAGCCATTCTTGAGATTCACAATCTCCTACCTAAGAGGTCTGGATAGCTCTTCCATGCGGTGATGAGTTACAGGATTGTGCAATTTTAACTGGGAAGGACAAATTGCAATGTTCTTAAATGTGAATCTTGGCCTTGTTTGTGCCATGGCAAAAGCTTTACAAGGTTATGTGAGGAGAATAGGCAGGGAGAAGCTTTCTTCAGCTACCCCCTAAGGGACCAAAGGAAATAATTGGCCTCAGAGAGGCAGCTTCTTACTGAAAGTTACATGCAATGATTGCTAAAAGTGCCGGGAAAAATCATCTAGTGAGAGCTGAATATTAATAACAGTGACATGCTATATCTCATTTCTCTGGTTGAAAAGAAAAGTGGGGAACCCACCAGGTATGAAGTAATTCTATATTCACAGAATTCCTGTCTTCTCTTTGTGAATCTGAAATTGCAAAAGGACTTTCCATCAAGTACTGGCCCCGGAAGTTCGTACCACTGCAAAGCAGAATCTTCTATGAGATTCTGATGATCAGGTGCTCTTCTTGGTACTCTGATGAAACTTCCCACTTCTAAACACCAAACCTAACATTTCTTTGTCCTTTTCCAAGATTGGTGGCTTTCATATCTTTCCTTAAAGGAAATGCACTGCTGGCAGTCACTCTCGTGCTGCCCAGAGCATCCATGGTGGCAGTCTGTGTCCCTGGCGGTAGAGGGTGCATCTCCCTGGGGTCAGATATGTTGGTGCCTTGGCCCATCCCCTGTGCCTGTCTCCTCAGGTGGCGAAAGTTCTATGAACTCCATGGCCCTGCGCATTGTGATGGGCAGCTGGTGGCTCTTCACCCTCATCGTGTGCTCTTCCTACACTGCCAATCTCGCTGCCTTCCTCACAGTGTCTCGGATGGACAACCCCATAAGGTAAGCCCATTCTGCTTCCTGACCCAGGACCATGAGCTCCAAAAAGCTTTAAAGAGGAGTTACCTCTGGCGGGGAGAACAGAGGCAGAGACGAACTCAGATTCCGGATCCGCAGTGGGATGCTTGGAATTATTTTAGTTCAAGCAAAGAACTTCATCCTGTTGTATTTTATTTCATGCACAATTATGTAAATGTATAAATTCATGAAATGATATTAATCTGAGCATTTAAATATGCCTTACAAAAGTAATACATCCAGATGTTAAACTCAGCAAATTAAATTTCCTCAGACATTTAAACATTGATTTGCAAACTCATTTAATCAAAAATTTTATCAACATTTAGTTAAAATTAATTGAAATCAAAAGCCTAATATATTTTTCAAATCTTCAAACATCTTGAAATTATTTTTTTAAAATAATCCAATTATCTCAAGTAGAAAAATTATTTTCATTTACATCTATAAAATTATAACATTATTAAAGTTAAGGATTAAGGTTTTGTCTTCATTGAAATGCCTTTATTTTATGAGAAGATTCCCAAATAAAGGAACATTTCCCCAAAAAACTTTGGACAAAGTAAATGTGAGTTGGATATGTGGTCCAAGTGGTGTAGGCATGAGTCTGTCCCACACTTCACTGGGTACAATGTTGGCTTCAATATTATCTCTCAGTCAAGCCCTGAGTATGGTTTTCAGAGTTCCTGTCTTTCATAACTTCTTTAACCCATTGCCCTCCTATCATTATGTTGGTCCTTTTGATCCACAGCTTTATCCAGTCATCCTTACTTAACCAGCTTCTCTGGCTCACACCTGCTTATTGAGTTGAATTCCTTGACTTGGATCCAAGGTTCAGTGTGCTATTATCTGGTGTCTTCATTAAATTGACATTTTTATTGAGAGAATTATGGATTCACAAGAAGTTGTAAGAAGTAATGCAGAGAGGTCCCCTTGGATCCTTTACTTAGTTATCCCCAGTACAACATTTTGCAAAATGATGGTATTTTATTACAACCAGGCTATTGACATAGATGTAATGAACTGATTTCATTTAGGTTTCCCCTCTTATACTTGTGCTCATGAGTGTAGGGGTGTGTGTGTGTATGTGTGTGTCTGTATACATTCTATTCTGTGAGGTTTGTGTATCTACCTCTACAGTAAAGATATGCAATAGTTGCTTTGCCATGACACCTTATGTTGTCCTTTCACAGACGCACCATCCTCCTCTACATTTTCTCCTGTCCCATCTGGTTCCTAACACCTGGCAGCCATTAGTTTTTCTCCATTTCTAAAATTTTGTCATTTCAAACATGTTATATAAATAAAATAAGTAATATCATTTGGCTGTAGGTTTTTAAAAACTCTGTAGTTCCTTAAAAATTAATCTCTGTGGTGATGTGTGTTCCCAGCTCACTGCTCTTACTGATGGCTAGTATCCCATGTCCCACAGTGCATTTAACCGTTCACTAAAGAAGGACATCTGGGTTGCTTCCAGTTCTTGGCAATTTTGAATAAAGCTGCTATTGTTACCCAGTTTTGAGCCAAATCTTGCTTCTTTAACTCTCCAGAGCATAGCCAGTAACCACATGAGAGGGTGCTGGAGCAGAGGGAGGACTTAGCAGCCAGTGAAGGGCAGAGGAAGGGCAGAGGACAGTTCTCAGATCAGTCCCTCCAGCAAAGCATAAAAATGAAGTTATATGCATTTGGGGGATTGGAAGGGGCATGGAGATTAACTAGTGGGAAGAATATTCATAACTTTTTCCAAGAAGTCGCCACCTTGTCTCTAGGAATTTCACCTTCCTTCCTCACTTGACCATATATGTGATCAGTTTTGAGAGTTGTCATGGAGACTCTGAACAGTCCTGGAGCTGATGAGTTGGACATTTACAATGGAAACACCTGCCAATGTGGCTGGAGGGCAAGCGCCAGCCAGGGTGGCTTCTAAATTAGTTCAGACCAGCTCAGTTTGAATCTAATATCTAATTTTTCAAACTTCTGGTCCTAAGACAATGGTGGCCTCCTGTTTTTCATGGGAGCACATCATTTGACTAAATCAGGCATCCTTTCCATAAGTGCTGATCACACCTACTCTGACCAGGACTTAGGGAAGGGCACAAAGAGAAACAAAAGGGGAGCAAAAAGGAAAATAATGTGCTGCCACAGGGCAGCGGGTAACAGCAATAGCCTTGTGCTCCTTGTACTTGTGTGGTACCAATTGTTTCTGTTCATTTATGATTTTGAATCGTCTTCCATTAGTATAGCTAAAGTTTTGTCAATTGTTTATCTTTTCAATAACTTTTAGTCTCTATTTCATTTATTTCTTTCCTAATTTTTATTTCCTTTTTCTGCTAACTTAGGGCTTCTTCTCCCTACCTCACCCCCTGTTCTTTGCATTTTAAAGTTAACTTGTTTATTTGAGGTCTTTCATTGTTTTTAATGTAGTTTTGCTAGGTTGAATTTCCATTTTCATTTGTCTTAAAATATTTTCTAGATATTTCTTTTGACTTCTTATTTGGTTGTTCAGGAGTGTGGTGTTTAATCTCCATATCTTTCAAATTTTCCAAATCTGTTACTGCTTTCTGGTTTGACAGCATTGTTATTGCAAAAGATACTTGATATGATTTTGACTTTAAATTTGTTACAGTTGTCTTTTGGTCTAACAAGTAATTGATATTGGAGAAAGTTCCATGTGGGTGTGAAAAGAATGTGAGTTTGGGTGCTGTTGGATGGAATGTTCTCTATTTGTCTATTATTTTAGTTTATTTTTGGATGGAATGTTCTCTATTTGTCTATTATTTTAGTTTATTTTTGGATGGAATGTTCTCTATTTGTTTATTATTATAGTTTGTTTTGTATTTTTTTTATTTTCTGTGAGAATGATCTATCTATTGTTAAAAGTGGGCTTATGAAAGCCTTCACTCTTCCTGTATTGCTATTTACCCCTTCAGTTTTGTTGTGTAGGTGTGAAAATATTGGACATGTACACAGAGTTATATTTATTAAATTGACCCATTTATCATTATGTAATAATTTTCCTTGTGTCTTGTGATAATTTTTGACATAAAGTCTATTTCGCCTGGTAAAAATATAGCCACGCTTGTTCTCTTCTTTTTACTGTTCACGTGGTATACCTTTTTCTATTCTTTTTCATTCACTGTATGTGTTTTTGAATGTTTAGTGAGTTGTTTGTATAGAAGACAGTTGGATCATGCTTTTTAAAATCCATTCTCTTAAACTTGTACTTTTAAATAGAAAGTTTAATCCATTATCATTTAATATAATTAATAAGGAAGTTTTTCTATTTTTTTTACCCACCTATCCTTATCTTGTTTTCAGGAACATTAACTCTTCATATGAGTACCCCATATTTCTTACCCTCTCTTTGAGAGTTTTCAATTAATCTCCATTTTCTCGTTCATTTTGGGGTAGCTTCTCAGTTTGTCTTCCACAGTTCTGATTAGATTTTCATTAGTCTTCATATGCCTGTTAGCAATGATAGTGACTAGAGAAATTTTACTTATATGTTTTCATTTCCCCTTTATCACATTCTCCACTTTTTTGTATCTTTTTTCTCAATCACAGTTTCATGAAATTCATCTTTAATTTTTGTCATACAGCCCTTGCTGTAGTAGTTTATACCTTTCACAGAAACAAATAATTTTTAAAATCTCCAGCATGTTGGCCAACACTATGGTCTCCTGGGTCATTAATGTGATATCATGTGAACATATTTACGTATTATTTCTTTGTACTGAAAACTTTACTTATGCCTACATACTGTGTTTATTGTTTAGTCTTGAATATGGCATGAAGGTATTCCTTGGACCTGCTAGTAATACACTTGTCTACAGTTAGAATCATCCCTTCCAGTCTCACTCTGGGTTGTGAGCGGAAGTGGAAACTAGGATGTAAATTCCCACGACTAGTACTATGGCTTAGTGAAATATTTTCCTTTTGAGTTTTTTGTCCCGATGATGAAGTTTCTGATTCTAGAATTCTTACTGATCCAGCCCCTCCAACAGTAAGAAAAGCCACAGTGTAGTTTTTCTTAACCTCCTCCCAGCATTACTATTTTCTGCACTTTACTGACAAATTACTATTTGTCAGAGAGAAATGGCAGTGACCTGGGGTTTTTGCATATGGTACCCAGCAGAGCTGAAAGGAATCCAGGGGCTTTGCATTATTGCTACTTTAAATTTCTTGTCTCTGTAGGTATAAAAAGAAATCCACTGAGATGATGCCTTTTCAGAGTAAGATGCGTTAGAGTTTCCCATTTATTTCTTCCCCTCTCCTCCAAAAATCTTAGAGTGTCTAAGTGGGTAGCATCCTTCCATTGTTCGGAACATATGATTCACTGTAGTTTAAAAATTCCTGGTCATTCTATCATGTGTCTGGAAGGATGAATGATGGATAACTCTTCCTCTCTTTATCAACATCTTTCTTATTAATCTATGTAATTTTCAGCTTATCAATTTAAAGGAATATATATGTTTAGAAATTATTATATTCCACTCTGTGTCCATGCAAATATTCATAAGCTTACACACTTCCTAAAAGATACAAAAGATGTTTGTATCAAAAAGAAATGAATCTTCTAAAGAGCAAGGGTGTGTTGACCCAGGGAGGAAATTTTTACCCATTATTTGGGTATGAAATATACTCACCGAGGAGAGCATATCTCACTTGATTCAATATGAAAGTGTCAAAATGTTGTAATTATCTTCATCTCCACGACAGTTTCCCATAAATGTACACCTATTATCATGAAAGCAGAGTAATTCGAAAAAGTTGGCATTGGCAAGTGGTAAGATGCTATAGTCCAGTGATAACGAACCTTTTAGAGCTTTCAGTGATTCAAAAAGCTTGCTGCTGCATATGTGCCATAGGTTTACCATCACTGCTATAATCCGTCTTTTTCACTGATGCCTGTATGTAGGAAATATTTTGACTAAAACCCCTAGGTGAGTAGCACCGTATTTTCAGAAGGGTCACATTTATCTTAC